GTGACGTCACGAGGTACAACACCCAAATACTTTTGTCAAGGCCGCGGCCGGCGCCGGAACGTCGTAGTTAGCCGCGCGCCCGGCCGGCCGCCGCCGCCTCAGATGCGTACCGCCGGCCGGCCGGGCGGCGACTTTTTGCGACACACGGCGTGGGGCGGCTGTTTTTGTGGCCCGTCTGCGCGGCCGCGGCGCCGTGTCGTAAGCGCGCACGACAGGGCGCCCCCGTCTGATATGATCCGGGCCGATGGCATGACCTGTGTCGCCCCTCGCCCAGCCTGGCGCGGTCTGCGCCGCCGCGTCTGCTGGCCGGCCCGAGTCGGCGCGCAGGTCAGCGCGCGTGGTGTTTGTCCTGCCACGTGTATTTTCCGAACACTATTACGTGGCCAACGTGTGCTTACAAACATAGTGCAACGCCATGGGAAAAAGCAGTTAGTGAATTATTTGCATTCACCTCTTAAAGCCCTGCTGGAAAATTATGTCAGTGGCTTAGAAATGTAGCTCAGTAGCTCAGAAATGACTCAGCATTACTCACCTAGCTCAGAACATAGCTCATAATATACTCACATAGCTCAGAAATGTGCGCGGCGGGGGGGGGGGGCGCTTCAGCATACACCAGGCATTCTTCCTCCCACATCGGCATCGGAAGGCATCAGACCCTCTGCATCGATGCACCAGCAGTTCGTCTTCCCAGGAACGGAATGATTTAAAAGTCAAACGTGATCTACTGGTAGGGGTCAAGGTCTCCTACCGTATAAGCGTTCGAAACTTCGCATCAAGCCGACACTACCACGAGAGAAGACATGACCTAACACGTAATGAAACTTACGCGATGGCCAGGAACACAGCAGGAATTCTCCTTCCGATGTCGCATGACTTTGGTCAGCCAATTTGGTCTCCTCAAAATGTAAGTGATTTAATGGTCAAACGCAATGTGTCCGCACGGTTTAGGGACTCTGCATTGAGTCATAGCCTTCCGGTCATGTTAACAAAACTGTGAAGAGCGACACATGACACCGCATGTGACACTTGACGACCAGTGACAGATCAATGACGACTGGGCACAGGCAGCAGAGATCCGTCTGTCCGCCCAACAGTGGCATGCCACGTCTGGAAGAGTCGCACCGCGGGCGTCGCGCTGGGCCCGCAGCGGCGCCGGCGATGTGCTGCCGTCGTGAAGACCGCGGCCGGTGATCGGCGTCGTCGGTCCGGCCCCTGTGCGTTTAGAGCTTCGCACTCACGCACACAACCTTTACGGCTCGACCACACAACGCGGCTTTGTTCTGGCAGCGAGGCGATGAGCTGAAACAGTAGCGAACGCGCGAACTATACGTGCAGCACTGGTCCCCAGAGACCGCTTTCTTGAGCGGCTGCCGCCGTCGTGTCCCTCGCCCGCCGGACCAGCCGTCAGGGAAGCTGACCCGAGCTAGTAAGCTGGCAGTGACTCACCGGTGTCGCATCGCAACGGTAGGGAAAGGGACCACAATCCGAACCCTTGACGCAGCGAGTAAGTGGCTCGGCTGATTTGGACGGTCGGTAGTCAGCGTCACGGTTTGAGAGCCCCATCCGTTCTACGCGGGCATTTCTACAGCCCGCCGACTTCGGTCCCGAGAGCGCACTCAGCCAGCGGGGACGTGACACGCTGTTCACTCCCCCGGCCACGCGACAAGCTTCCAGCGTCCCCAGCGCTCCAGCAGCTCGGCAAATTCGAGTGCTGTAGCCGGCAGCATCCGAGATTGCCATCGCGCCTTGCCGCCTTCCGAAGGCGCGGCGAACACCAATGGATAACACCGAGGCAGAGAAAGCTGCACAACACATCTTCGCTGGAGATCAACTCGTGGCAGCAAGGGTGATCCCAGCGTGTGTGTCCCAGCAACGGACGCGGCAAGATTGTTCCGTTAAGGCTGACCGGAACACATGCACTGCAAAACCACATAAGAGCATGCTACTTATGCCTCGGTGGCTTCCGCACATGTAACTGTGTTCAACGACGAGTATTCCTAATTCCTTTGCATTATGATGGAACGAAAAAGCTGGGTGCGGGCGCAGCTTGGGAATGCAATGCCGGGAAAACCTTATGTGCCACAGATATCGCGATGGTAAGTACGTGCATACCTCAATGGCGAGATGATAAAACCTTATGTGCCACAGCTATCGGGATGGTAAGGACGTGCATACCTCAATGGCGAGATGATAAAACCTTATGTGCCACAGCTATCGGGATGGTAAGGACGTGCATACCTCAATGGCGAAATGGTACAACCTTATGTGCCACAGCTATCGGGATGGTAAGGACGTGCATATCTCAATGGCGAAATGGTACAGCCTTATGTGCCACAGCTATCGGGATGGTAAGGACGTGCATACCTCAATGGCGAGATGATACAACCTTATGTGCCACAGCTATCGGGATGGTAAGGACGTGCATACCTCAATGGCGAGATGATAAAACCTTATGTGCCACAGCTATCGGGATGGTAAGGACGTGCATATCTCAATGGCGAAATGATACGAGTGGCTAATTTTCCAAGGCAGATGGTACCACTGTTTTAACATCTGTCCTACCACGTTCTCCACTGATGGAGGCAGCAAGGCAACGATGAGCAGTACATCGTGGTCACAGCGTTGAAATAAGGTGTTTTCCGGCTCAGAAGGAAGACCATGATTTATTGGAATCCATGCATCTGCATTGGCGTTGGGTGGGAGAAGGAGCAGGTATGGAGCGAGGACAACATGCGAAGCGACTACAGGCTTGTCTAGACTTGAGCAGCTAACTTCGATTCCAGCTTCAATTTGACTGTAGACTAAAGAACAAGTGTGTGGCACGGATGCAGATATTGGTAATGGATATGCTTAAAAGACAACACAGACCGTGATCGCCACGCATGCTACAACTTGGCAATTTCGGCTAGGATTAGCGTCTCCTTGCAGTTTAGTCCAGGCAAACTAGACAGCACATATGCACCTCCGGACACAATTTTATTTCACCGTTTGATCATAACAAAATGCACACGATGATAATTCGATGTAGAAACTGACACAGAGCGTACAAAACGGCCCGATCCAATGCATGGGCGCAGACGGCAACAGCTCTCAACGCATTTGCCCGGCGGGGGTCCGACCAACCGGTCAACAACACTTACAAGCTAGCGAGCGTCGCTTCGCAATTACCTGATCACTACCCGGTTCTCGTAAGCAACTGAGTCCTTTGCCTCGCCTCTGCCGCTCCTGCCAACAGCCCCCGTTTAAATGAGCCCCTCTCGAGCTCTGAATGGGTTCGTTGCAACGCAACCGATTGCCACGGTGGTCCTTTCCAAAGTCGCACGAACGGTGCACCGGGACGCGGCAAAGAGAGTCCACTCGTAAATGCGGTGGCTTAAGACGTCCATCCCGGGTAGACACGCCGACTTTGCTGCACATATCGTATACCCTGATACACATTCAAGCAAAAGTGCGTTTTGAAGCGGTTGGTAGAGAGATACGAGCCCGAAAGTTCCCCGAACAAAATCAGTTCACACCTACCCAATCCAGGCCCGACCTACGTCAAAAGGCCTTCGCCACACTAAATTGGCATACCTGAGATGAGCCAGGCTCACAGTCAGACACGAAAGGTCCTGAACATCTCCTAGCTCGTGGAAACTCCACTTATTCTATCCACTATGGACGATGTCTCATCTTGAAGTAAAGCGTTTCTTTTGTCAGTGGCTGAATTTCGGACAGTGTATGTGTCAAAGCACGATAGGCACTTGATCTCCCAACAAAGGGACGTGATACGCTTCGCGTCAGTCTTGAGCACAAGTCGAAATCGTCATTAATCCGAGAACATCACATTCCAGTCTTGTTGACTGCGACACGGTCCGAACACATTCCTCGAATCAGCCAGCGCTTTTTCTAAATCCGGCACGCGACGCACCATAAAATTGCAAACAAAGACCTCTCCACAGCACGCCGAGCAACCCAGCGCCAGTTCGTTACGTCACAGAAAACAGCACCGATCATAACTTAAAACAGACACTCCAGACGCATCCGCCAATTAATCGGAGCCACCTACGCACCTGCCTAGCTTCCAGCTTGTTCTCTACCCCTACTCGCTCGCCGCACGGCGGCCCGTGCCGCCGCCCCGAGGCACGCCGCGGCGCGCCGGCCAGCGCTGCGGCCGGCCCGACCGGCCGCTGGCGCCCGGCAGAAAGGCCGCGGTGTAACAGGTACTGGGGTATTGCGTAGTTGTGGGGCCGGCCGGCGTCGCTCGGCCGCCGAACAACACAGACGGCGCCCGGCCACCACACTGGTAACATGCGCGCTCGACCCACAGACCCCGGCGTGGGGCGGGTCGGCACTCTCCCCGAGGCGCCGAAGCTGCAGAAGGTCGGCCAATCGCCGTGGGCGACGCGCGACACGTGACAATCGCAGGGCCAATCGACGCGTGAGACCGCCGGGCCGGGCTTTACACGAGGTGACATGGCACAACACGATGACGATGCAATTTTTGATTCGGCTAAGGTCGACAGACAGGCAATCCCAACTATCCAACTGGCCTTGGGCACATCTTGGCGCTCACTGGTTCCGGAATGTGCCGAGTGTTCGTTTTGAGGCCTAGAGAGCAGTTTCAGCGCCGCGCCAACCAATGACAGGTCGCGGAGCGGTTTTCACTGGCCAAACGAAAACTATACTAGGGAAAAGGTCTGCAGCGACTCGAAAATCATGCAACCAACAACACAACCTACCGTTTCTCCGGTTTCTGCTGCTTGCAGCCGGCTCCTGCCTCCGCTACTTGACGCGACTAGAAACAATCCGCCCAGAATTTAGCAGCTCGTGGAAAGACGCGTCACGGTCAGCGTTCACGCCGCCGCCGCTGCCGCCGTCACCACCTCGGTCGTAGCACACTGGGGGCGTTGGGCGTCGGGGCGTCCCCGCGTGGCACTCGCGACGCACGACGCGTCCGCCCCCACGGGCGGCTAGGCCGGCGCGGGGGTCGGCGTCACGTGACGGCGCGAGGCGCGTCGTCACGGCGGTCCGAAGTAGCGGAATTGTGGCAAGTGGCTAGGAGGGAAGTGGTCCGGCGAAGGCGTGCGCGGCCGCTCGAGGCACGGCTCGGCCGGCGGACTCGCCTCGCTCACTGCCGCCGCTGCCGCCGCCGTCGTCGTCGTCTGCATCAGCGACGACAGGTCCTTGCCGCCAACGGGCAGACGCGGCGACCTGGCGAGGTGCGGCACCGGCCGTGCCGGCCCAGCCAGCGCGAACATCTCGGCAGGGTGCTCGGCCTGGCGCGCGTGCGGCAAGAAGAACATCTCTGTCGCAGCGTACATGTCCGAGCGCAGCATGGCGCTCAGGTCGGGCGTGTGGAGGAGATCCGGCAACACTTCGGGCGGCTCGAAGTTGGGCAGTGTGACCGGTTCGGGGATGTCCATGTCGGGCAGCGGCTGCTGGAACTGCGTCACCGGCGGCCGGAACACACCGGCGCCGCCGTCACCACCGGCGCCGCCGCAACCGCCGCTGCCGCCCTCCTCCGGGTAAAACGGCTCGGCGCCGGGCGAGAAGACGGGCCCGGCGACGCTGGCGGCGGCCGCGGCGGCCGGCGAGCCGGGCGTGCCGGGCGCCGCCTCCGGCTCCGTCTTGACCCGGCCGCGCCGCAGCGACGCACCCTGGCCTGTCGAGTGGCTCTTCTTCATGTGGCGCACCAGGTGGTCCTTGCGGCCGAACTTTTGCGGACACAGATCGCACACGAAGTCGCGGCTACCCGTGTGCACCACCAGGTGTCGCTTCACGTCCTTGCGAGTGAAGAAGCGCTTCTTACACACGTCACACTGGAACTTCTTGTCCTGCGCGCTCTTCACCGTTCGCGAGCCGGCGTGAGTCTTCAGGTGGAAGATGATGTCCTCCTTGGCCTGGAAGGTGATACCACAGAGCGTACACATGAGGTTGCCGTCCTCGGCCTCGTGCAGCGCCACGTGCTTCTTCAGACCCGTGCTGGACGTGTACTCCTTGCCGCACGACGGCCGCGGACAATGGAACATCTGCTTGTTCGGGTTGTGCGTTTCCATGTGATTCTTGAGGTGGTCCTTGCGGTAGAAGCCCTTGCTACACTCGGTGCACTTAAACTGGCGCTCCTTGCTGTGCGTCAGAACATGACGCATCAGCTTGAACTTTGAGGAGAAGCTCTTGTCGCAGCGTTGGCAGACGTACGGCCGCTCGCCCGTGTGCGAGTACTGGTGCTGGGCGAGCTTGCCTGGGCTGGAGAAGCTCTTGCTGCAGGTGACGCAGCGGTTGGCCCGCTTGCGGCGAGTGGCGGCGACGCGTCGGGTGGGCCGCGACGGCCCGGGCACGGCCAGAGCCTCGCTGCTGGCCGGGGCCGACGACGATGGCACGGCCGGCGCAGGCGGCGGCGGCAGGGCGCTCCCACTATCAGCTGGAGCTGCAACACAGGCGGCGGTCAGCCGAGCGCGGCGCCGGGCACACGTTCGCGCCGGCGCCCGGCGTTAGCGGCTCTGAGCGGGCGCGCGCCGCGGCCGACCGGCCGGCCAAGCCGCGCCGCCGGCACCTTCTCCTAACTCTGACTCACCGCGCCAGCTCTGCCGGCTGCCGCTGCGCTGCGCGGCCGGCAGAGAAGCTGGCGAGCTGGCTGGCCGGCCGTCCCGCCGCCGGCGCCGCTCGCGGCCGGCCAGCGTACGCGCCGTCGGGGGGCGCCGGCGGCGCGCGCCGTCTTTTTCCTGCGCGCGGAGCAATGACCATCGGCCGGTGTCAGACACAAGGTCAGGGCGCTCCGTCGCGGCGGCGCTGGCACGACGCCAACGCCGAACGCCGCAGTGCAATATAAGGTTCTGCGTAGTTATGAGGAGGGCGGAGCCTGTCGGGAATTCACGGGCGCAGTCTGGTTTTGCGCCAGCGGAACGCTAACTGCTGTGAGCGGGTTTGAACGGCGATCTGAGCGGGGCGAGTTCTGGGGTGGTCAATCCAGGAGAGCGCATCGCAGGCACCCGCACATGTGATTATCTGGGGATATCCACGCTTGGCACGGGACTCAAAATACTAACCGATCAAATACGCAGAAAGTGATCGCCAGGTGTCAGAGATTTCCCATTCTGAGAATTGTCATGGGAGTTAAAAGGTTTGTGGTTCATTGTTTCCCTGCACAAAGTGCACACAGCTCCACCATGCAGCGTACCACCATTCATCGGCCAAGTCGCACGGCACAGAATAAACACAGCCGGAGAACGCACATCCAGCTCGGATTTGTCACCCACCGGCGCTGGCCGGTGTTGAAGGTCGTGGCCAGTGTCTGGCGTCCAGTCGGGGAGACTGCGCGGGCGTGCTCAGCTCGAGACGTCGCGCTCGCCGAGCTCGAGGTCATGACGTGCCGCGCCTCACACCGTCCCATGGCTAACATCGACACGGCGCTGCAGCAGGACAACTGATCGAACAAACTTCAGTCGCCACCGTCTGATCGTGCACGTGACGAGATGAGCTGGGCTGGAATGCCTGGAGACTGACAGCCCATGCCGCCCAAATCTCCCGTAGCGATCCGTCGATAGCGCGCATCATGGCCCACTCTAGTGGGGTCGGTGCACTCTGAAGTTTCGACTCCTGCGCGACCGTCCATCGTCTCATAAGCTACAGTTTAGCTGAAGTCAGTGAAGTCAAAAGCCTTTGCCACTATAGTTATACCATAATCTGTCTAGACAAAACGGCGGCAATTTATGTTTATTAAACCTAGTTTACGCTCATAGATTCGTTTCGGCACGCTTTAAGCGTTAAAAGAGCCCTTCATACCTTCATACAGACCGTTTACCCCCATGATAATGTCACAGCCTTGGATACTTTTCTAACATTTCAGGCATTGAAAATAGCTTGTTCTTATAATGCTTTCCGTAAAAACCGATCAAACTAGTGTCATGTACATGCATCCTCATTTTACTGCAAGTAATGAGACCTTGCTGTTTGTTGGAGGTCACCAACATTGAACAGCAGTTAAAATAAAACAACAGCGCCCAAAATATAACAACAAAGTTAGACCCGTGAAATAATTCAATACAAATGGTGCTTCTCAGTATTAGTTGGGTCGGATAAAGATACCTATGCCTATACATTAAAGAAAGTATGCCACCTTGTTTGTATTTCACTCCGATCACTCATTGTCAGATCGGACGCGTCCGAGATCATCGGTAATGCTACTTTTCCCAAAATCATTCTGAATAGTCCAAGTTTTTACTTGAAACAGCCGTTCCTGTGGGAGAAATCTTATTGGACTCTCTGCTTTCCACTATGAAAGTACTACCTTTAATTTCCCTTGCTTTCTTCAACGTGCCTGTACGGTAATGTTTGCAACGCATCAATTTGTCTAAATGCTCGTGTAATAAATTGTACGGAAGCTTGAGTAATGTTTAGAGAAAACAAGCATGCATACATGAGGCAATGATCTCGCTAATTCAGCTGCGTGTTATACTATGGCTTTAATTTCTCCCATATGACGGTAATTACAGCGGCTCTTTTTGAAGCGCACGTTGGCTTTGGGAAACGGGGTGTCACATAATCTACAGTGAGGCACTGGTTCAAACTTCAACCAGTGCACTTCCCGGCGACTGCCTGTTGCCGCTGGCTGTGCCAATCACAAACGTTCATTTGTACTGACGTCATTCAAGCTAGTAGAGGTGCCCCTTGTAAGCCCGCAGGCTCACAATGTGCGCTTAAACCAACTCAAAATGGTAGCCCGTGACCGCTGACAACGGCCCATAGCAGATTCTGGCGTCGTCATGACGACGGCGGTCTCGTCAACTGCAGCTGTCGCGGACTAGTCACGCACTCTGATGCTGCCAAGAAAGCGACAAGTGTAGTGCTATTACGAAGCGTTGACAGCGCTATGTGGACTCGAAAAATATAAATTTACATCTTTATTGTACCTTGATGATGCTGCGGCGGCACCATGCAAAACTATTATTGGAAGTAAATGGCCCAGAGGTTTCACCAGAGTATCTTTTTGAAATATGCCACAAGGGTGGGGCACCCGTTTGAGGAACGTGTGAAGTACATTTTGTTTGGGAATGGGCTGAGTACATATGTCGGCGTGGATTTAGACACTTCGTGATAATGGCATGATTCTCTGTGCTTTTATCTGTGGTTGGTTACGATCAGGTGACCTTGGATCCCGCAAGTCATATGGTCCTGTTCATATGAGAACGTTACTGTCAAACTACCTTCGAAGGTGTCACTTTCAAATCATCGATTTATTTATGATTTGATAGCGAATCTGACGATCACAAGTTATGCTCAACTTGGGACTTTTTATCGCCACGCCATGTAATCATACATGCACAAACAGCCCTCACGCGCCAAAACATATATCGACGTACATATCGGTGGCAGATATGTATCGTGGAAAACAAGACATGGGAACTACTGCGCAAAAGCCAGCGTAATGCGTCCAGTGCATGCTGGCTAGACATGCGCGGACGCTGATAAATAGTTTGGCTCAGGGCTTGCACTCGCCAGAGATTGACGGCTTGTGGTGTATCCGTGGAGGGGGTTCGACTCCGCTGCTGCCTGATAGGGTACCAAATTTCTGACCTTTACGAGTCGTGGAGCCTTCTGCGCAGTCGTCTGCATGCCAGTGCCGTCCTCGGTGGCTCTGGTGGATAGCAAGGATACGTCCGACCGACCCTTAACGGGACCTCGGATACCTTGTCAACGGGCCGTCTCGTCGATGATACAATGCACGCGAACGCAATCGCAAAAATGCTACAACTTCGTTAACAGTGAGCCACTCGAGCGTTTTACGGTAGGGATCCTCCAACAGCGGGTGTGTGCTCTGTTTGCGATCCTGGCAGCAGACCCAGCAGACCCAGCGGTTCCGCTCACGTGGCTCAGCTGGAGAGCCGTTGAGGGGGTCCCTGACGGCGAGTAGTACCTAATGTAACGGAAAACGTTCGCCTCTGCTACAGATTGCATCGCGAATCTCGTAGGCGTGTGCTTCCGCTTGTTGGTGGCCCGAGGAGACCGAAGCAGCTCTGAACCCTGTTTGATGCCAACTGAGGCTCTTGTCAAAGTGAACTCCTCAGATTTTGACGCAATCTTATTTGAATAGCCGTGTATCTCCGATAGTGAGACGCACACCAGAGGCTATCGTGTATGAGGGTAAAATATGAAACAAGCGCACGACCACACCATTGAAGGATTCTTGCTGGAGCTAATTATGGTTGGTGCTTCTCTAGCGCAGTCCCACGCTCATGCCTCTCTTAGAAATATAAACTTGGCGAAAATGTTATGGCTTGAAAAGCGAACGATGAAAAAAACAAACAAAAAGCATCGCACGATTCAAAACATGTTTCGTCCTTCCACCTATGAAACTGAATGAAACTTGAGGACTGATTCCGCTGAGTGTTGACCAAAGCTTTGATTGATTGGTCATCAACGGGTGCATAGAAACTGATAACGAATGAAGCCATGAAGAGAAAATACATGGCATGTAATGTGAGTAGCGCAGTGGCACAACAGCCATCAGACACCGAGGCAGGAAGGATATTCAGCAAAAGGGGTATAGTGAAGTGGTCGGCAACCACCGCTTCCACACGAGCACATATTTGATGAGCCTTGTTTAGAACTTCATAGCACTACACAGCGAAGTATCCCATCACACTTTTGCCGTAAAATTGATTGCATGGTTTTGATGAAATCTTGAAAACAGCCCACGCCCGACGGTGCTTACACAAATAATGCACATGTAAAATGAAACCGACGTGCAGGAGGAGGGCGGCCGAGGCGAAATATCCGGGGAGAAAAGGACTAGTGATAGGCCGTTTGCGAGGCTGCGAACAGACATATAATATGTATAGGCACAGCAGACAGCCGTGTCGTGTTGTCGTGCTGCCGCTGCATTGATACGATGATATGTTTTTCTATCAGTTTGGAAATCTTGTTGAATTCCTAATGTTCTTTTTCATTCCCAGCTTATTGTTCACACCTGTTTGGAAAAATCGAAATGCAAAGACCTGATGTCAATCGGATCCCACAGGTCCGTATGAGTTCCGAACGTCAGCTCTTCCCCCGATGACCTAGGTCACGACAATCTAGGTCACGCATGACCACCACCCTTTCCAATGCTCCCCTCCTTTTAACAGGCGTTCACCATTAGCGAGCGGCGCAGCGTGAGGAAGTCACATTCTACATTTTCAGGGGTTGGGTGCTTTTTCCTATGCGTGAGAACACCCACAGCAGCCAATCTAGTAGTAGTAATATCGCTGGAGTGCAGCCGCCGACGGTAAACTCTCTTCGGATTTGCCGAATGTCACCGGAATCCAAGGTGAATGCAGACGTTCTACCACTTGCTGATTCCTTCACGTGAAATATACAATCTCATGCCACGCAAACGCTTCGCCTCATACGCACAATGATGTTCTGAAAATACGTACAAGCCACATACGA